ACTTATAACGTTACCCTCCTTGTGGTCAGTCTGCACAAGATCAACAAGCGTGTTTGCTTTGCGACCCCTTTAAATACAAGATAAGCATTCGATCTACGTCAGAGCATCCACAAATCTTTCTACAGCGTTGTTGACAGGTTTTGACGCTCTCGACGGCGGCGGTGTCAACGCACAGTAAGTGCATTACCGCCACCTATCTGTCAAATGGACCTCTATCTACAACAGGGGTGCCCAAACTCGGTCCTGGAGGGCCGGTGTCCTGCAGAGTTTAGCTCCAACTTGCCTCAACACACCTGTTGGTAAGTTTCTAGTATGCCTATAAGAGCTTGATTAGCTGGTTCAGGTGTGTTTAATTGGGGTTGGAGCTAAACTCTGCAGGACACCGGCCCTCCAGGACCGAGTTTGGGCACCCCTGATCTACAATCTCAATTAGGAGTGTCAATGGTCCATTTGAGAGATACTGCAACGGTTTGAGTTAAAAATCTTCGTTTGTGTTCAACTGAAGAAACAAAGTCACCTACAGCTTGGATGCCCTGGGGGTAAACAGATAAACATCAAATTTTAATTTTTGGGTGAACTATCCCTTTAAGACGTTTTAACTTGAAACTGTCGTTTCTGGCCAAAAGAATCCATAATAACGCTTCCTCCAGTGAAAAAGTCCATCTGTTGTTCTCTCATCAAAATCCACCCACATATTTTAGAGCTGTATTGGACTGTTTTCATTGCAGACGATGCTTGATCTGTGCATATTTCTCTCCTGATTCAGATGAGACAACGTTTTCACTGGAGAAAGTATTATGAATAGAGGACTCGTATTTTAGCGCAGGGGTGTCAAACTCAATTCCTGGAGGGCCAGAGCCCTGCAGAGTTTAAATTCAATTCTAATTAAACACCACCTGATCCAGCTAATCAAGTCCTTCAGGCTTATTTGAAAACTAAATTGTATGTGTTTTTTGGAACAGGGTTGGAACAAAACTCTGCAGGGCTCCGGCCCTCCAGGAACTGAGTTTGACACCCCTGTTTTAGCTGGAAGCAACGGTTTGAAGTTAGAAACAGCTTAATGATAGATTTGTTTCTTACAAACACACAGCTTTTGGTTTCACAAGACGTAACTGGTGGACTGGAGTGGTGTGGATTACTTGTGGATTATTGTGATGCATTTATCAGACTCTCATTCTGACTGCACCCATTCACTGCAGAGGATTCATTGGTAATGCTAAATTTATCCAAATCTGTTCTCATCTACATCTTTGATTTGGGTGAACTATTCCTTTAAGAATGTTTAGCTATTGGAAACAGACAATATTACTGAAGAAGAAAGTATTTTTGCAGTGCATTTCATATCAATAGCAACCAGATCAAGCAGCAGCATTCTGACCAGCTCTGATATTTAGGCACTAAACCACTTCACCACCCCTCCAAAACAAATTTGTGCTTCAGTATAAAATATATTAACTCAGTATGAACTATAATAATCTGCTTCCTGGTTACACAAATATCAATCTGTTGACAATCACTTAGTCGATTTTGATGAAGCAGCTGTTGCGATGTCTGCTCGTTTAGACAATTTGTAGTGGATAAACTACTCATATGCTGTCGTCTTCTAAGACAGCATATGACCCTTTGCAAGGTCTGTGTAGGGATTTTGTCAGATCTATTGTTGACTAAAGGCTTTGTGCTGTCGAAAGAATCACTGCAGACTTTTAAGGGTTCATGCAGCAAACGTACAACGGGGGTTCTGGAAGGAATCCAGGCCAGCGCAGCCTGTACCAGGACTTTGTTCTCAGTCCAGCTTTCATTCATCTTTGATCATAAGAGAAGCGTCTACTGACTTTACCGGAACAGATCTGGTCCCCAGAGCGATCAGAACACGAGCTCTGTGTTTTTCCAGCCTTTCCCCGTGCCTCTGTTGTTTTATTTGGCGTTTCTGCTTGAGCATTTTTTGAACAGCTAAAGACACAAGAGGGTTAGAGAGGCTTTCAATTTTTCTCTCAGAAGTGGCTGGATCACTAGAGGACTGTCAAAACAGTCTTGATGGCACCTCAGGGACATGTTAATAGTCTCTGCGGCAGCTGAAGTATGGTTGAGTTGTACTGTCCCCACTCATCAGCCGCGGTGTGCGAGCAGTCACCGTTTGACTCAAACATCCTCTTTGGCGGTTTAATGCAGCACTTTCAAAAGCTCGTCTGGAGAATTCATTACCTTGCTGCGGTGATATTTTCTGCATTGCTTCGTTCAGTGAGATGATAGAGGAAGCCGTGCGCAAATATCTGCCTTCTAAGGGAGCAAAATCAAACCCTTTTAGCAACTTATTTATACATAAAAGCGTCTACCAAATGCATATGTAAACGTATTTGGAATGCTTGGAATAGGTTGCAAGTCTGCTTGCTATACAAATGACAAACAGTTGATTCCAATGGAGTATGATGTAGCATGTTGCTAAGCTAACAAGTCAACACACACACATAAATATATACACATTTGTGTTTAGAATTGTATGTTTTCAAATAAATTATTATAAAAGTTAGGCTATATGTATATGTATGACATGTATACACACATTTAATCGATCTCTATATATTGTTCTCTCTCTCTCTCAATTGGCATGCTGACTGCAGGAATGTCCACCAGAGCTGTTGCCCGTGAATTGAATGAATGCCAATTGCACGCTCCCTCAAAACTTGCGACATCTGTGGCATTGTGCTGTGTGATAAAACTGCACATTTTAGAGTGGCCTTTTATTGTGGCCAGCCTAAGGCACACCTGTGCAATAATCATGCTGTCTAATCAGCATCTTGATATGCCACACCTGTGAGGTGGATGGATTATCTCGGCAAAGGAGAAGTGCTCACTAACACAGATTTAGACAGATTTGTGAACAATATTTGAGAGAAATAGGCCTTTTGTGTACATAGAAAAAGTCTTAGACATTTTTCGAATTACATGTTTTTGAATTAGGCTAAATGGGTATTGTGTCATTAGTGTGCCTTCAATGCCTTAAAATGCAGTCAATGTAGGAGCTTATTTCATAAAATAACTCAAAACACTGGTCAGGTGACAATTTTCCGAATCTTGTTTATATACAATGTTTGTTTTTTATGAAAAACAAACAAAGTTACACAATGTCAATGAAGATGGAAACAAAAATAATCAATAAATGTCTCATCACTGAAGGGAAATCAGTGGGTAAAAAAAAGGACATCATCAAGCATTACATGTCACACAATTAATACGAGTAGCTCAAGCAAACTCACAATCACTCCAACACACACATCTACAAATCATGTGTTTAGCAAACCACATGCTCGAGCATTTGACATTTTTTCCTTTAGGGTTGAATCTCACAAAGCTAGTCCTGGTCATATTTCACCCCAAAATAAAACAAAATATTAAAAATATTTTGGATAAAGACTAAAGTATATATTTAATGTTTTTTAATGCATTGTGGCATCATTCTCATTGTTAAAATACTTGTATATGGCTTAATAATGAATTATTTATATGAATATTTTGTGGAAAAATGTAAATTTAACTGTCATATATATATATATATACAGTATATATAACTTTTGATTTTTGGGGTAAAATATGACATGTTTTGTGTGTGCAGTGAACCTTGTTTTTACAAACCTGATTTATTTGAGGTTACAAAAGATTACAATATGTTTATTTTACAGTACAAAAAAAAACATGATTCACCAAGATCTCCATCCAGTTTCTTCCGTTTCTTTGGGACGGCGTGTTTATTTTCCTCTATCTTCAGCTCGATCTTCACTTCCTTTTTCCAGGCTCCGAATGGGAGGATGTTCAGTTCTCCACCTGAGCTTTCACACAGCATTGGCCCCGCCCACGCTGGAACCTCCAATCCCAGCAGCTTCATCAGTTGACCCATGACCTCATCTACTAGCTGTGGATAAGCAGGTGGGCGTGTTTGTCCTACAAAAAAAAACGAGTAGCACTGTTAAGTAAAAACAACCTGACAGATTTTAAAGTGACGGTTCACTAAAAACTGGAATTATTTACTCAATTTCTTTTCCATACAATGAACATAAATTATGATTAACCAAACCTTTTTGTGGATGTTAATTTAAGCCATTATTCACCATCACATTTAGCTATTTTATGACTTCAGAATTGATGTATGTTTGCAACATGACAACTTTTTCATACATCAAGCTTTTGTCAATCTTCTTCTTTTGTCACTTTCTGTATCAAATAAATGCTGTTCTTTTTAACTTTCTATTCATCAAAGTATCCTGAAAATACATAATGGTTTCCATAAAAATACGAAGCAGCACAACTGTTTTCAACACTGATAATAATCAGAAATGGTTCTTGAGCAGTATATTAGAATGATTTCTGAAGATCATGTGACACTGAAGACTGGAGTAATGATGCTGAAAATTCAGCTTTGATCACAGGAATAAATTACATTTTAACAGTAAATTCAAATAGAAAATGGTTATTTTAAATTGCAATATTATTTTTCGATATTATTGTTTTTACCATACTTTTAACCAAATGCAGCCTTGGTGAGCAGAAAAGACTTTCAAAAACAAAAACAAAAAAAATCTTTCTAACCCCAAACTTTTTCCAGAAAATTACGCGTCTATGTTTTTTTTTGACATTCTTTAGCCTGTCTGTGTGAAATACTAATTTACTTTGAATAAATGCACACTTTAATCAATCACAGCAGATTCAGATTACAGACAGACATTACGAAACTGCACCAGAAATGTCAAATTCTACTTCTTTACACGTTAAGCTGCTATAATACCATAAACTCCCCCTCCAAAAATCTGACATGTTGTATCTCATGTTGTGTCAGGCTTTGAATTTCAAAAAGATTTATAAAAATAAATCCAATTTGGGAACTGAGTTGTTGACAGGAAGTGGAAGCGATGAGGTAAAGCGGCAAAAATAACCTTTAGATGGAACATGAGTCAAACACGGGCAGATAACAACACGTTTAAAAATTAATAGGATTAATCCATAACAAACATTCTAGTCACATGACAAGATCAGAAAGAAATGCCAGACTAACGATACGAGCTTAAGAGAAAATCCAGCCCGCCTCTTTGATGAAGCTGCAAAGCTTCTTAATCAAAATTGTTTTAATAATGAGTATGAATGGTCAGACGGGGTTTAACGCAGCTGTGCTTTTGAAGGACACTAATCTGAGTGCGTGTTCACCGCTCACAGATTTCAAACTACTACGTGTTTGTGGAAGCATGTGTATTTTTGTGTGGGTGAGGACTAAGACAAAGATTCTAAATCTAGTGAGCTGCTGTGCTGTCTGTTGTCTACATAGGCAGAATATTAACTGAAATTGATCCTTATACATCCTTATAAATTGAGTCATCATTCAAAAACTTAGGGGCTGGTAATATTTTTGAAAGAAGTGACTAAGGAGCCACTAATTGTGGCCACATTGTACTAATTTGTTCCCTCGTTTTAGTAAATCGTGGCCATGTGTTATTAATTCGTTGCTAAATAAAAGTATCAATTTGAATGAATTTTTAATTAGAATGGATTTTCTTCCTGAGGTTTTTGAGGTATCGTGTTGGTGAGATGTACATGTTTGGTAGGCTGAAGGTTGACTATAACCAGCTTCCCTCCTGTGCGTTTGGTTAGAAGAGGCAGATCTCCGCTAGGTTTAATTTGAAGAGATGTACCCAGCGTCAAGGCCAAGTCAGCTTGCCTGTGAAAAGAGAGGCACAGTATCAGCTGCTGGGGGCTGTTGGTCATACTTCTCAGTCTCCGTTTGTTCACCTTAATCACAACGCACACAAATGTCAAGCTACAGTCTTATCACATGGTTCCTTTGTTGATGCAAATTTGAAACATTATTATGCAAAACTTGTCAAGAACATGTCTCAGGCTGCATCCGAAAACTTAGGCAGCTGACTTGCTGCCTCGCTGCCGTATGAGGCAATGACTTTGCAGGCAGCGTTTTTGCACGAAGGCACCTCATGAAACTGATTTCGGACAGACTTCTGAGGCAGTGTAACAGTTTAATGAGTTACAACACAATAGAATGAGTTTTTGTGATAACTAAACAAATATTTAATTACTATAATATTGATTTCTCGCTAGAAATACCATCAAAAGTGCAAAAAGTTAGTCAGAAATATACATTTACACACAAACTGACCACCAAACGCAACTTTCAGAAACATTATTATGCAAAACTTGTCAAGAACATGTCTCAGGCTGCATCCGAAAACTTAGGCAGCTGACTTGCTGCCTCGCTGCCGTATGAGGCAATGACTTTGCAGGCAGCGTTTTTGCACGAAGGCACCTCATGAAACTGATTTCGGACAGACTTCTGAGGCAGTGTAACAGTTTAATGAGTTACAACACAATAGAATGAGTTTTTGTGATAACTAAACAAATATTTAATTACTATAATACTGATTTCTCGCTAGAAATAACATCAAAAGTGCAAAAAGTCACACTTCACCCCAAAGGCAAAAAAAATAAAATAAAAATCAAGAAACTTTGCATAAAAAAGAATGAATATGTTAATTGTTAGGATCATCTAGAACAAGGATTGTGCAATATTTTTTTGTACAGCCTTTCAGTGTTATTTTAGTATTATTTAGCTACTATTATATAGTTTATTAATGTTATTATATTTTCATTTTTGTTTAAATTTTAGTAATCTATGTTTTTAATTTGTATTATTATTTTTTAATATTTCTATTCAGCTTTATTTTTTTTTTTTCAGTTTTAGCAGTTTTAGTACTTAAACTTATTTTATTTCAGTTAGTTGCCAAGGTAACATTTGCAATTTTTCCAAGTTTTTACCTAATATTTATATTTAATTTTATTTCAGAAAACATTTTAATAGAAAAATAACAACACTGCCGCTTTTATGCTGTTCCAAATAAAATAAGTGTATATACAAACACAACAAAACATTACTGTAAATTAAAATTTAATGAACAGCATAGTTACAAAAATAAAATACACACATTGTAATAATGAGAATTAGATGAGGTAATATGCTAATCAAAATAATTTCATGATGCAAAAAATCTTAAATAAAAACCTAAATATTAGGCTGCATTTTTGTTAGGTAAAATAATAATAATAATAATAATAATAATAATAATACGTTTAATTAATAGCCATGTCATTTGAAATAAAATGTATACAGAAAATTCTGAAATGAGCAGAATGGGTCAAAATGGTTGACTAGTCCAGTTGTTGGACGGCTAGTTGACCCTTTTTTCTCCTTCACAAGAGTTGAAGTGTGTTTGCTAACCTGACATTGCAGAAAACATCTGATTACAGAATAGCAACATGCAACAGTGATGAAGAAAAGGCTGTAAGATATTCACAGACCTGAACTGAACTGTAACATGAGTTCAGCTGTAATAACTTGTGCCTTTTATCATCACTGTTTCTAAGCTTGTCTGAAATCTCTTTTTATCTGAACATCATTAACTTTAAAGTACACACTTCAGTACAATACTCATGTTTAATTAAAGGTAGGGTAGGCAATTTGAAGAGGCTAGGAACAGCCATATACATAAGGAGATAAGTATCCTTTACAAAACATAATGAATACTGGTTCACTAAAAGCTCTCTTAACTCCCCATGAACTACTATGACCTTTCTAAATGCATGACTTAAAGAAAGAGATTTGCTGAACCTTCCTTTCACCACAGCATCCAAAACCCAGACATCTTTCGAAGTGAATGATTGCAGCAGGCTAAGAAAAAAAAGCTACTTTTCTTCTAAAGAAACCACAAGTGACCTCAGACCATGAGAGAGAAAATTGAGAGTGAAAAACAGCAAAAGTGAGAATTACGAATCTTCTTTAAGTTTGAGCAGGAGCTTATAGGCACTTGATTGGTTTTTGAGTCTCATGTGGTCGTAGGAAACTCATCGGCACCGTCCTGATTTCACCTGAACACACTATCAATCCCAGAGTGCCGTGTATCCACTGTGAAACCTACATGCTTAGATGAGCTTTTACCTAAAACACATTTGAAAGACAAAAGGTGGTCACATTTCAAAGAAATTTCGGTCCATACCCAATGTATTAAGCTAAAAAAATTAGCATTCCATCACTTGCTCACCAATGGATCCTCTGCAGTGAATGGGTGCCGTCAGAATGAGAGTCCAAACAGCTGATAAAAACATCACAATAATCCACAAGTAATACACACCACTCCAGTCCAGCAATTAATGTCTTGAGAAGAGGATCCATTGGTGAGCAAGTGATGTAATGCTACATTTCTCCAAATCTGTTATGATGAAAAAACAAACTCATCTACATCTTGGATGACCTGAGGTTGAGTACATTTTCAGCACATTATCATTTTTGGGTTTACTATTCCTTTAATAACACATATTCCAATGTCTATATATGCAGGATCTCATTTATAAATCATGTCATATCTAGTGATCTTCTAAACTAGGAAACAGTTATATTACATAAAGACGCATGCAGCTTTGTAATACTGTGCCCTAAAGCAAACTCTTGACAGACTGGAGGAACTCAAACTGTAAGTATTGTGCTTTACGATAAAGAAAGAAGAAAACCACATTGGAGTACTTCCAAGGTCACGTTTATTTTCTTTCAAGCTGCAGTGGATTTTGAAAGCATGTGGAAGCCCAGAGGACAGTCGTGGGTCAGATGTGCAGCAGGTGTTGTGGGATGTTTTGTATGCGTGCGTGTCTGTGTGTCGAGTCTTGTGAGACTGCAGTACGTTCACTGTAATATAATTAAGCTGGATCTGGTGCTGTTGATACAATGATCGAGACTGAGCACTCTAATCTATTCATTTGACCTGAAACCGAAGCATTTAGAAGTAATTAAAAGCGTATTGATATACTAAACTATTTGCATGCAACACATCAACAATTTTGACGGTCGACAGCATTGTACAGGAAGTGAGATCACTCTGATGTACTGATATGAAGTTTTTAATGTATCATTGTTGGAATATACTGAAGCAGTTTGACTACAGCACTGCTTATGTATAAATTAAGTCCATAATTGTTTATAGTTTTGCAATACATTAACCCAAAGTCATGATTTATTGCTCTATATATTCCTGTGGACATTTTAAAATTGGCCTGAAACGGAAATCGTTCTAGTTAACTGTAAAACCGCAGCAACCAACTGGTCAAAAGTTATACATAAAAGGTATACATAATAGTAAAGCTAATATCTGCCTTTGAATTTAGTTTCCTAAATTCACCTGTCAATCACCAAACATGCTCAATTTTATTTTAGACCTGTGATTGCAACTTGCCTTGTTCTCAACAAGCATTCTTGATTCCCTAAATATAATGGCCTTCTCCCTGAATTATTAGAGCACACCTTCTCATTTTCTGGATATTTCTCTTCCTTACCGACATGCTTCATCGGCTCTATTCAGGTCTCTGTCAGGCAGTGAGTCCTCCCAGTCCAATATAGTGCTGATCAGCTTCCCTCTGCAGAGAAAAACACACACGTAGTTATGAGACAGAGCAAACAGCTGATGACAAGCACAGACATCTAAGGGGGTGTATGCGCAGATGCATCAGACAGACGTCTTTGTGCGCTTCATCATGTTTGACTGAGCATCGTGTGCCATGAACATTTTTAAGACAGCGTGTAATGTTAAGAAACCAACGCATCAATGTCAATATCAAACTCTGTTACTTTTATTATCTTTCACGTGTTTTGACAAGTTATTATCATTAGCTAAACCTAAAACAAACAAACAACATTTTTGTTACAAAGAAATAAAAAAATATATGATTTTTTGTTTTAGTTCACTGCCAAGTCAACATTTCTCATTTGATTAATTCTATTGACTTATAATTCAATTTTAAGTTTTGTTTAACTCGATGTACTAAAATAACTAAAACTGAAATCAAATAAAAAACTATAGACACTAAAAAAGTAATAAAAACAACAAAATTACTAAAACTTTTAGTAAAATTTAAATAAAAATGGAAATTATAAAAATAAAAAGATGCAAAATATTAATATATTCTACAACAGTATATTAATGATAGTAAAATAACACTAATCATGTAATTTTACTGAAATATTTTACATTTGAGTATCTGGGGCCGGATTCATGAAACTTAATCTTAAGAATAAAATTTTATTTTAACTGACATTTTCTTCTTTAAGCAAAATGTTACATACAAATAATTCTTAAGAATGTTCTTATCTTTTCTCTTAAAATAGTTTTTAAGACAAAACTTAAGAAGAATTCAAATGTTTGAAAAGAAACTTCCTACAAATCAATCTAAATAACTTCTTGAAGTTAGAATATCCTCCGACTTGTCTTACATCCGCAAAGGTAAGATGTTTTATAAATGTATTGGGTTATTTAATAGAAATTGTTGTAATTAAGCATTACAACATAACGCTATAATACATATTATTATTCCTAGGGATGTGCACACGTTCTTAAGTGACACCAATGATCGATAATGTAAACAATGATCGGTCATGATTATGTGTGACTCGACTTTGTGCTGAATTCGAAATTCAGTAATGAGTCAAATAGGGAGCTCGTTTTTAATTTCAGCCCATAAATAGGACAATCTTCGGCAACATTCAGTATATATGAGAGCGTCCATACATCTGACACCAAACTTTATTTATCTTAAGAAATTTATCTCAAAACCTTCTTTCAAAAGATGATTTTTATGAGTCCGGCTCCTGATGACGTAACACCTGCCTGCTGCAAAGTCAGAGGATGCTCATGGCTGGATTATGAAACGAAGGAGCCGGTGCCCCAGAGCCTCAGACTGCCAGGGGCCATTATAGCCAAAGGTTGCACAGCCTGAGACTGCCAATAACAACTGAGCAGATCCCTTGGTACAAACGGTGTGAGCTGAACACTAGGGCTCCTGAGGCCCCTCAGCACATACGGACCACTAGCAGGCTACTGACAGCTCCAATTACTAATGTCAGTCATTCAATATTAGCCTCTGAAAAATGGCTTTTTAAAAAAAATTTGTTTAACAACTGTTTTTAACATTGATAATTATCAGAAATGTTTCTTGAGCAGTAAATCAGTATATTAGAATGATTTCTGAAGGATCATGTGACACTGAAGACTGGAGTAATGATGCTGAAAATTCAGCTTTGCATCAAAGGAATACATTTTTAAATATACAATAGAAAACAGTTCATTTGAATTATAATAATTGTTGCTGTTTCTGTTTCGTGCAGATGTGTTTTATGTAGTATAGTTTCAAAAAGCTAAAGTCAGAGCATTCTGCTTTTGCTTCAAATTTCCGAATTATACAGTCTAATTTAGATTAAAAATTGCTCATGCTGCATGTATGCAGCATCTTTGTTTGGATTGTGATTAATTTTAAATGGAAAGAGCACAGGCAAAGCCTTAGTTTATTTATATGAAGAGATTCTAGCATTTATTTTTTTTGATTTGGGGTTTGTTAAAAAATTTCAATTTAGTTATGTTATTCTACATATTTCAATTTCACAAAGACATGTGCAGCATTTTGTCCATGCAATAATAAAAGGACGCTTTTTCATTAATAATTTGTCTTAAATCTCATTTTGTTAACAAAAATCGTATTGTGAAATCAGTATCGCGAATCGTATTGCATCGTGAGTTGAGTGACTGTTACATCCCTGTATTTGACCAATGAATTTCCAGAGCCTTGTCAGTCATTTGTAATTTCTGAACAAGGATTTTCAAACATTTTATAAAGATTCACTCACAAAGGGCACTTTAAGGCAAATTAAATGTAAAGAAAAAAATCTATAAAAGAAGTATGCAATTTGGAGCAGTTAGCCAAGCCCATGCACTCTCAAACGAAAGCAAAATCACCCTCAATTGAAGATCTGGCAAACTATCCATGCATATTTGTGTTTGCGCTCTGGACAGCGTCAAAAGTAACTATTTACTAAGTGTTTTGCACAGTTGAGCAATGTAGCCAAACACAGACATATCTGTTGACTTCTTAATGGCCAATCAGAGGCGTTTTAGTTGGTCAGAATTCACTGACCGCTAAAACCGATGGCGTTTTTGTTCACTTCATTTCCGCATGCTAGTGAATCATCTCATAAAGTGCAAATGCAATGTAAATAAGAGATTCATTGTGCAGTTTAGAGAGCTTCATTAATTATAATGGAACTTTGTGAGATCGTATGTAACTTGATTTTTGGACACATACACGCTGGAACATTTCGGGAATGACATCCGCATATTTATGCTGGATTCACTCTTGAAATAGCAATGATTGACACAGTGATAACCATAGCAATGGATGGGTCAAAAAACATATGTGAGAGCGTGCTTAAAAATGAAAGGCCAACAACAGACACTTAAAGGCACAGATATGTCATTTTCGCCGCTAGAGGGCGCGTATTCAAAATAAACAAATAGACAAAGGCGTAGTTTGATGGCGCTGTGACTGAGTGTGGAATCATGGGAGTTGTTGTCTTCATCCCCACAGCCGATGCAATCCGACGGGACTCGGGCAGAAATCATGTTCATGGATGAGCTAATGATTTATTAACATAGTAGAATGAAGCAGGGTGAGGCTGAAAGCTGTCGAAGCGAAAAGAGGCCGTTGAACGAGCGTGACACACGGCTCGAAAGCAGCGGAGCTTTTATTATGCCACAGTCGACCGCTTCTGCTCCTTCCGGTCGTGCGTATGTGGGGTAAAGCAGCGCTGTTTTATCATACTAGATACATTTGAAAGTTCTGTTATTATGCTACTCTGTGCGGTCGTCACCGGTCTATTAAAACGCACAACATATTAAAGCGTCTTTGGTGTTTCCAAACCAGAAATCGAGGGGTTATGACGTCATTGGCAGGCGACACAATGACACTATAGACACGGTCCGTTTTGGGATAATGTAAGTACACAAGTCAGCAAAATATATAACACTGTTCTAGTGGTTTTTGGATATTTTAATAAAAAAATCTTACATATTGTGCCTTTAACAAATACCCCACATACTAAGTAAAACTTTATTCAAAGGTAGGATATGCGATTTCATAAAGGCTAGCAATAGCAAGCTAGCTTTGAAAGCAAGATCCCACCCTCCCTGCATAATCACTCTGCAAAGCCACGCCTCCTTAAAAAAAACATATGAACGCACACAGGCAGAGCAGAGGCTAATCAGCGACATGATGAGAGACGGCGTTGGTGGAGGACTGAATGCAACGCTGTCAGATATATCATGTCTCATTCACTACTGAGAAAACACTACAGTACAAAGCACATAATATTACAATAAAACACATTCCATTCTTGCTCAGTAGCGTGCTTTTTACTACTTATTACATTTTAAATAGGAGTAACTTGTAATCTGTCACCTATTACATTTCCAAAGTAACCTTCCCAACACTGTGTATATGTATGTATGTACATATACAATATA